ATCCAAGATGTCCTCTTACAGGACAGATTCATTTAGCATGAGCCCAGGCTACTCGGTCTTTAGGTCTGTCATACTTGGGAATATCATCCCAGTATCAATCCCTTGGTCTATCACTTCTGTAGTCCAGGTTCTTCTGTCGATTAGCTGTGAAATCCTGACCATAATCCTTAGTTCCTCCGTGTTTCAGTTTCTTATCTGAAAACCAGGGATTGAAAATAGGTCAACTGGTAGAGTTGGTAAGAGAATTCAAGGAGGGGATAACACATGTAAGATATTGAAGGCGATGACTGATTAGCACATGGTAGCTGTTCAGTGCATGCTAGAAAGACCGGGCGCAAATGATTGCTGACCCAGCACCCAACAAAGCAGCACGCGTGATCTGATGACGTAAAGTTCCTCACTTCTTCATGAAGCCTGAAACTTTGCTTCTGTCCGTCCTTGGGAGAGAGGCTGCACTTAGAATTCTCCAGAACAGTTGCTTTGCTCTGGCCCATTTGCTAAGGAATGCCTGACGAAAGTGCACTCACTGTCTGATTCAGAGCGACTGCTGCAAAAATTGGCTTTGGAGTCTTCAGGGACTCCCGCGGTTGAACTGAGAAGACATCCTCATCAAGTACAGTGCTTCTAACACTTCTGGGGACTTTAAGATTCTCCACTACTACTGCTTCTCAGAGGGGCTCTTTTGTGTTAGAAAACTCTCGAGGGAGATGAAGACTCCACCCCCATGGAGTTTTACTACAGACCTCCCATACACTTGTTCATTCCTTGTGTGTGTGTGTGTGTGTGTGTGTGTGTGTGTGTGTGTGTGTGTGTGTCCCACCCCCCTGCCCGCTTCATCTTAATGGTAATGTGGTGGCATGAGGTTTTGCTTGTTGGAAAACTTCTTTTCCTTTTCTTTGGCTCTTGGGGGGGGGTGTATCTGGGTCCGTACTGTCATTAAAGGCAGTGTGGCATGGACGTGGCTTCCAATGTTGGTGCTATCATTTACTAACCGAGTAATCCCAGGAGAGTCATTATGCCTCTGTGTCTCCACCTTTTTACCTTTCCGGCCAGGGCATGGCCATCCAGGAGACTCACCTCTGAAGGCTTTGTCACAGAGAAAGCAAGCAGGCAGCATGAGAGGCCCGCTCTCTCGTAGTGACGTTGGCTTTTTATCCGCTTCGATTCCTGGTGCTGTTTTTATGTTGCTGGCTTTGTCAGTGGGCAAGCAAATGCTTTACTGCTTCCTGTCTGCCTCGGGACGACGGCACATAGTTTATAACTGATGCACTCTGCCGGGTAGGCTTTTCTCCGGTTTCTGTGCTTCGGCCTGTGTGTGCCATCTTACAGCCTCAGAGTCGTCCCCACCGCTGTCTGGCCATCTCTCCCTAACACTGCAGCAGCCAGCACTCTGTCAGGTCTTCCATTTCCCATTGATATTCCCTCCCCAAAGGAGGCTTGCTCCAAGAATGCTGCTGGGCAAATGGTATGATGGTTTTAGTAATTTGAAAGCTTCCTGCCTGCACTGTGTGTTTTCCATTATTGACAATGGTGTTCCAGGAGAATATATAGCTCTAGCAAGACTTTGGTCAATGTTTCCCGCTCTTCAGGTGTTGTCTGTGTACTAATGAAGTCATTGAGCGTGCTTTGCATGCAGTGGCTGGCAGCTTGTTGACTCAGAGGTCCTGAGCAGGCGCCTCTCCATGGTGACACCGCTACAGAACAAAGCAGAGGAGTATGACAAACACTACAAAACTTGAGTGATTTTTCCTCCCCGAAGGCCTCTGCTCCCACCTTCTTCAAATTTCAAGTTGCTACCTACAGATATAGATGCTTTTGTTTTGTTTTGTTTTTGTTTTTGTTTTTTCAAGACAGGGTTTCTCTGTGTAGCTTTGCGTCTTTCCTAGAACTCACTCTGTATCCCAGGCTGGCCTCGAACTCACAGAGATCTGCCTGGCTCTGCCTCCCGAGTGCTGGGATTAAAGGCGTGTGCCACCACTGCCCGGCCATAGATTCTTTTAAGAAGTACAATTTGGAAATGTGCCTTCCAATCAATCGTTCGGAGAGCAGTTCTCAGTAGGCAAAGTCTTCTACCTGCTGGAAGTTGAACATGCCATTTTGCAGGCCAGACAGCTGTGGGAATAAACTTTGCGAGAGGATTGCCTCCAAGTTGTCTGTCGAGAGTTCTGAACAGCCACCCCATCTTTGTCTTGTCTGTTTCTGTTTGTTGTTGTTGTTTTATGTGAATACCTTCCACGATGGGGAATTTGTATTAACTAGTTGTTAAGAATGATGGTAGTGAAGGTCAAATTCAATTTTCCTGTCTTAACAAAGGGTCATGATGCCCAGCATGAAAAAAAAAATAGAGGGGATAAGAAGGGAGGGGCAGAGAAGGAGGGAGGCACACTCTGCTTCCTGGCTGCTCTGTGGATATTGAGATCACAGGGCCTGGAGGAATCAAGTTCTGTATCTCTGTAGCTTCAAAACCTCTGCATCTCCCATAATCCTTCTTTTTCCTAGGTCTTCTTTGACAAATAAATGCCATATTCTTCTTCTCCTCTCTCTCTAGGAACTGATAGGTATTTTCTCTCACTGTGCACCTCCTCTCCACTGAGAAATGGTCAGGAGATGTGTACTTTTTTAAATTGGCAATAGAAGTCCATACAAGAGCCAGGCATTGGTGGTGCACACCTTTAATCCCAGCAGATTGAATCGGAGGCAGAGGCAGGTAGACCTCTGAGTTCGAGGCCAGGCTGGTTTACAGAGCTAGTTCCAGGATACTCAAGGCTACACAAAGAAATCCTGTCTTGGAAAAAAAAAAAAAAAAGTCAATACAAGAAAAGCTACAATGAAGCAAACACAGTCAAGTCGTGGTGGCACACACCTGTAATCACAGCACTCAGGAGTCTGAGGCAGGATGATCACAAGTTTGAGGCAAGACTGAGCCAGGTGTAAGACTGTCTCAAAACAAAACAAAATAAGACAAACAAAAAGCAGATGCAGATTCTTCTACTGCCTGGGATTCAGAACTGACCTTTTCTTTGCTAGTTCTTTGTCTAGTGAATTTCAGGAAGTGTAAGGCATTAGCTATACTCAATAGGTATAGAAGGAAATCATTCTGTTGCATGGTAAATCTGAGTCACCAGAGATGAATCTGTCATTGAAAATCTTTGTAAAAATTCCACTGCTGCCTCAATTTATTTTTCAAATGTTTAAACTTTTATTTATTCTTATGTATATGGGTGCTTTGCCTGCATGTATGTCTGGGTACCACATGCCTGGTACCCCAAGAGGCAAGAAGTAGGCATCAGTCCTCTGGGACTGGAGTTACAGACAGCTGTGATTTGTCACGTGGAGGCTTGGAGTTGAACCTGGGTCCTCCCAGAGAGTAGCCAGTGCTTTAACCACAGGCTGCCTCTCCAGCCCCATTCCCACTGACTTTTCACGGAGGATTTCGTCTTAGCTTTGCTTCTCTGTAGTAGATCAACACATGTGGAACGATAAGAAAACCATTGCATCCACCAGGGATCGGCTGTGCATGCAATGGAGGGATTGAGAATTGATCAATAAGGACTCAGTGAGTACTGTGTTCTCAACTGTGCAGGGCAGATCAGAACGCAGGTCCCGCCCTTGGGTGAGTTATGGTCTGTTTGGCATGAAACAACACAAGTGGCAATGCGTTTTGCAATAATATGATGACATAGTCAATCATGGCACACAGATGTCATGGAAACTTGAGAGAAACTTCCTTGATGAGTAGAAGGATGGAAATGTTGAGGCTTGAGCTGGAAGAAAACTATGAGTAAGAAGGAAGCAAAGGTCACATCTTTTACATCACAAGTTGAAAACAAACTTGACCAGAAGTGAGAGTCAGAGCTGAGAAAGCCAAGTGGGGTGAGCACCTGGGAGACTTGGGGTCTGGAGAGTTTCCATCCAAACTGTAGCCTACAGGGAACCAACGGCAGTGTTTATAAGGGCGTGGTACCATGAAAGCAAAGTTCAGAAGGGCCAGCAGCCATATTTAGATTGGTAAGAGGGGAGAATGCGGAGGCAGGAATACAAGCAAAGAAAAACCACTGGAGGAAGCCAAAGGCAGGAACTTGGGGGTTAAACTACAAATATAATAGAAATGCCTAAAGAGAATCGATTGCGTATCTGAAGGGGTGGAGAAAGAAGGCTGGGTCTAGAACTCTGAAGCTCTAGGTAAATCTTCAAAAGGGCTGGGAGACTGATGGAGGAGAAAGTGGATCTGTCTTTATTCCTATTGAGTTTGAGGTGGCCGTGGGACAGCTAATGAGGATGTTCAGCAGGCGGTCAGGAATGGAAAAGCCTGAGCAGTAGCTCTGTGTCCTTAGAGAAGGATGACCCTCTTAGATGTGTCAAGGTGGGAATGAGAAAGCACACATATCTGGGGAATGAAGTAGCTGGCCTCACCAAGTGGACAGCAGTGAAGGAAGAAAGATGCTACAGAACAGTCATGGAAAGTCAGTCCCACAGGCCTAACCATGACTAGGACCCAACTAAGGAAAAGAAAGTGAACTAGGGGAGGTGTCCATAGTGCTATGACTTCCTCCAGCCACACCTTGCCTCCTCAGGGTTGGACAGAGCATGAGGAACAGAATGCCACTGTCTGGTGAGGAAGGGCAGGGGAATCCGCAGCAGATGCCTGGGCCCCAGGCCATCTCCACCCAGCTCCATCTCTGTTGGGAATCACAGAGACACAGACTAAAGCAGGCAGACACGTATGCACAGATATGCAATGAGCAACATAAAACAGAGTCTCACACACACACACACACACACACACACACACACACACACACACACACATGAGGCTGACGGTGGACACATATTTAGGCATTTGGACCCATATTTAGCTACTAGGGGACCCGAAGGCTCAGGTGCACATCTGCACATCTCCTTCCTCTTGGAGAAGAATGTCCTGTCCCTAGCATCCGGGTGTGAGCTGAGGCAGGCCCCTCTCTTCCAGGCCTCACTCCTTCCCCTTTGTGTTTTTCCAGGTCGTGATATGGCGAGCACCACTCTACCTGGTTACCCCCCTCATGTGCCCCCCACTGGCCAGGGAAGCTACCCTACCTCCACCCTGGCAGGAATGGTGCCTGGTAGGTGACAATGTTGTAGATGGCTGATCCAGGTGGGGGTAACTAAATTGTGGGTGCGCTGCTAAACAGTCTGTAGTCTGAGGCTGGGAGTGGGAGGATTTCCAACAGGCCATTGTCCTTCCGCCCTCCTTCTCCTGAGAAGCCGCAAGTTGGCCCTTTAGACGCTTGCAGATGTGCCCCTTGTGTGCACAGCTGTAGGGTTGGCCCCTCCTCAGCACCCATCCGTCCAAACCTATGTCCCAGTGCCGCAGCCCACCCCAGCTAGCTGACACTGCTTGGAAGAGCCTGCCCTTGTTTCCATGGAAACTTGGAACCAAAGACCATTTTCAGGGGCATGGCAGTCATTCAGACAAAGCCACACTGGTCCACACCAAGCTGGGGGTTGCGGGGAGCACTGTAGAGAACCAACCCCAATCCAGAGAGAGAGAGAAGGAGGAGTGGAGGACAGGAGGGAACCAGGGACGCCTTAGCTTCAGAAAGAAGCAAGCTAGAACACCTCAACACTTCTTCAGAGGACACAGGCCCTCCGGGCTCCTTTGGGACTCTAGTGCACCTTTTTGCCGAGAGGCATTGGACTTGGATTTGGAATTAAGGAGACTGGGGATGTATGTAAAGCCTGGCAGCTCCTAGCTCCACCCTCCACCCCAAGTGGGAGTGGCTTAAAGTCAAAGAGAGTAGAAGTTCTTATCTCCCCAAACCTCTGTCTTGAAATGACCAAGACTTTCCCAGCCTTCAGCCCTCTGCCTCTAGAGTCTTTGGTGTGCCCTGTACCTGAAGTGCAGCCCTCACGGGTAGGGGGAAGAAGGAGAGGGTAGGAAAGGTGATTGGCCTCCTCCATCAAGGAACAGCCCTGAGTAAGCCGAGGGGTACTGAGAAAACCACACCGCCGCCACAGGGGAGCAGAGAGCAGGGCCTGAAGGGAGCTGGAGGTGTGAGACAGGGAGTCCTGGGCAGGCTTTGGAGAAGGCAAGTAGAAGCGTTGGCAGGGGCAAGGAGAGACCTTGGAGGTAGATCAGTGAGCAGGTGGAGGCTGGAGGAGGTCTTAGGGAGGTGGGGGCGAGGAAAGAGTGGGGAGGTGGGGGGCGGGGAGTCTGCAGGGAGGTGGGGATGAGGGGAGCCGCAGAGAGCTCATGGTGGCAAGGGGGGAGTCGTTAAACAGAATCTAGTGCTGATGAGGAAATTACACTTGTTTCATTAGCGATGGGGAAGGGAGATAGCTCAGTTCCTCTTGGTCACAGTTGAGCTCAGAAGCTCATTATCCTGCTGCACGCATGCTTTCCCTCCTCGTCAATAAACAGGCTTTCCAGTGGCTGCGTCCCCCACCCCCACCCAGCTCCTTCTCGGAGTGGGGCCCCTTCTCCTCTACTTAACCCGCGGTTAGGGATCACTGTAAACAGTCTGGGGTCATCACACAGGAGAAAGGGCGAGGGGGAAACCCATAGGCCTGGCCTTTCTCCTCCTGGAGGGAGGGAGGCGGCTCCCAACCCCCAGTGCCCTCCACTACTCACTGCCCCTGGGCCTGCGGGCAGCCCACTGGATTCCTCCAAGTCTCCTTCCTCAGTTGCATGGCTCTGGTATTGGACCTCAGGAGGGAAAAGGGGGAGGGGCTACTTCCCCGGAGAGCGCCATCATCACATCACCACCACCTGCCTAGTCTTGGCACAGCGCTGAGATGCCGCTCTTAAGACTTTCTGGGACAAAGTGTCTCAAGGGCCTTCCTTCACCACCCTCCGCGTCTTGCGTCCTGTGGAGTTCCTAAAGCAAGTGTCCACTATAAAAGCTCTCAGGCCCCAAGTCACTTAAGTGGGCACAGCCAGACCGGTCCAAACCCTTCCGGGGTAGCCAGAAATGCTTCACAGGGAGCCCAGACACAAACGTGCCCACAGATGCCTCCATGCCTAGGTGTGCAGAGATAGGGGTACTTCTTTGCCTTTGGTGGCTGTCCCCACGCGGAGAGTGTGGATTGCTCATCTCTGACCTGCCCCCGCCCCACCCCCCCCCGCGGGCCCTTGCTCTGCTTGGAACACCTGAGACTGGGACTCACAGTGGGGAGGGCAGAAGATGCCAGCTGGGCACATTGAGTACGTCTAATTCCAGTTCCCCGCCCTCCCACAGGGAGCGAGTTCTCAGGCAACCCATACAGCCATCCCCAGTACACCGCCTACAACGAGGCTTGGAGATTCAGCAACCCCGCCTTACTAAGTGAGTACGCCACCTGGCTGGCCCGCAGCTCAGCGGCTCGCCTGCCCGCCCCCTGCCAGCTTGGGCGCGCAGGCTGCTTTGGGACATGGATCCCACTCTGAACCACCCCACCTCTGGGTACCGGGATGGGCCAGGGAGACAGACTCATTACAGCAGCGCTGGGGCCTGGGGGACCCTCGACGGCGCCTGCGCCTCCTGCCTCTTCCATCCCCTGTCTCTCTCGGTCACTGGAAGGCTCTTGGCCGCGGTGGCCATCGGACCCCTTGGCTTGTTTGCCGCCAAGGGTCACCTGTCCTGTCCCTCTCCCGCCCTGTGAATGCAGCACTCCTGGGCATCTGGCCTCAGGGCTCAGCCACAGTCCTCCAGTCCTGATCCCGCCGGACCCGGGGAGGGCTTTTCTTTGCTTTTCTTTCCTTTTTTTGTTCTCCTGTTTGTCCTCTCACCCAGCCCATTCTTCTCCTGTGTTAACTTCCAGGTTCCCCTTATTATTATAGTGCCGCCCCCCGGGGCTCCGCCCCTGCCGCTGCTGCCGCTGCCTATGACCGCCACTAGTTACCGCGGGGACCACATCAAGCTTCAGGCAGACAGCTTCGGCCTCCACATCGTCCCAGTCTGACCGCCCACCCCAGAGGGAGGGAGGACCGAAGCGACGCGCTGCCACTCGGCCACCGTCCCTGTCCCACCCCCCTCCACCTCGAGACACCCTACACCCCCCCTACCCCCCGCAGCCCTTCACGTCATCCCGTCGATGGCCTGACCGGGCCGGTGGAGCCGCGCGTGGGACC